GTTGTCTAAAGTCATGTCTTTGATAATATATGTCAAGGTCACTGAAATTAATAAAGTCGCTTCTAATATGCAGTTATATACCTTTATTTTATTTCTTTTAATTAATAATTTTTAATTACAATAATATTAGTAATAATTTGATTTATATTAAGTGCGCGTCTAACAGTTTACATCAATATCATGAGAATCATTGAAAGTATCATAAAAATATTTTTTGTCCTTATGTTTTATCGCACAGTATTTTATAGCAATAGTTTAAATAACAAAAAACAAAGGAGAAGTAAATTTAAATTTAAAAATGATCAATGATAATTAAAAAGAGATAAATTATGCGAAAAATTAAAGTCATTCCTAGCTTCCACTCATCATTATTCTTCTCATTGTCAGATTATATAACATTAGAAGTGAGAGAACACGCAATAAAAATTTTTGCAAAATATATTATATTCAAATACATATTAATGTAGGCCAAACTAAACATCAATTAAAAATTTAAATCCATAAGCATTTTTTACCGCTATACAGGGTGTCCCATTTTAATGTTTCACCCGAAATAACTTTTTTACTTTTGACCTTAGAAAAAAATGTTTCAGACAAAAGTTGTATGGCTTCGAAGGGGACATAAGGTAGTGTTATTAGTGTGACCTTGAATAGTTGTTCAAAGATCATGTAAAGGTTACCTTCAATTTCTTAAATGGGACCCCCTACTTTTTATTGCACATTCTTGTAGATCATCTCAAGAGCTTCCAAAATGCTATAATAAAGTTATTTTTCAATAAATACTTTTGAAGTTATAAGGCTTGAAAGTTACAATACCGCCGACATTAGCATTGGTGTTCGATAGACGGACACCTCGAGCATACCTCGAGCATAGCATACCTCGAGAGCTTTCCAAAACACTATTTTATTAAATATCTTTCAAGTTAAAAGGCTTCAAAGTTACAATATTGTTGGTATTATATTATTATATCAACTGTGAACGATTTTTGATTACAAAGAACATTATGTGATCACATGTTTATTAACAAGTATCATTTTGTATTATAATATCTTAGCTTATTACCATTCATTGTTTCATAATTTCAATTTAATGCTGATTCGAGCCTACACTGACATTTTTAAGTAAAATGGAAATGTTTTTCATTAAAAACAACATTTGCTATTGATAGACTAGACTTATAAAATATAATATTATTAATTTAAATAAAATGTCACAGCTATGAACATGGCTTATTTTGTTTTTGGATATGCATAATTTATTTCCAAATATACAACAAAATTAACGCATAGGTAAATTTATATCAAAATTTTGCCTAACTTTAGGCAATCGTAACTCCGCGAAAAATGGTCGTATCAAAAAGTTTTTTTTTTATTCTCAAGAGTAAAGTCTGTACTTAAAGATGCTTTTGATCGATTTTTAATCTACCTTTTCTCCCACTCGTCATCTTTTGAAAAATAAAAACATGTTACGTCTCCAAAAAAATTGCATAATTTGATGCACTCATTCAGGACGGAATGAATTTTTTTCCATAAATGTCATAGTAACCATCGTAAAGTTTGTACTTTTTCCTGCAAATTAAAAAAAAAATAAAACTCCATACGATTTTTTTTCGCGGAGTTATGGCATGTTAAAGTTATCATAGCATTTTAGAAAGCTCTAATTTAAAACCCACTGTGTAAACTTCTTGATGCATTTGAGTGGGGGAGATAAAAATTAAGACAAGAATAGAAAATCTCAATCAATCTTTCATCAGTAACTGTTCGGCTGTCGTGGAAAGTACATGCAATAAAAATTATATAATATATAAAAATGTGTAAACACAGTAACTGATAAAAACAAGGTAAAAAATAATTTACATTCTCGTCCTATGTTTAAAAAGTCTGTTCAAAAAGACATTTTAATTGTGAGTAATAAATCTTTTTTTAAATTATTATTACAGTATTATTTCTTTTATTTATAAATCTGTTATCTTTAACATTTTAGTATTCATAGATATTTTCTAATTTTAATATTTTATTTATACATTCATATATATTTTGTAATTATATAAAAATTGCTAGTGCGTTAAATTATTAAAGTGGCTATTATGATAATATTTTTAACAATAATTTCTTAACAAAATTTTTGTATTATAAAGGTACAAGAATCAACATTCAAGGGCAGAATCAAAGATGACATCTTACTAGGACCAGAATATCCAGTACATAGAGATTCTGTTAATGTGGCTGAGACGATTCTAAAGACCTTAAAAAGCAAGCCTGATTGTATTGGCCAAGTACATTAACAAACAGTACCTTCCTATAGTATCATATTTTTCAATCGCAT